AACCCTAAATATCGGGGCCGAGCGAAATTATGTATAAAAATCTAAGTTCCCGGTTACTTTCGACAAAAAGCTGATAAGAAGATGTACAACTTCTATTGGTTTTCAATCATTATTTGCAAAGATTTTAATCTGATCTCCCTTCTAACTTTTTTCATATGGGAAAAGCGAAAAAGGGAGCGTATGGTCGGAGCTAGAGAAAAAAGGTCGCTCCGACTCCGCTCCAGCTCCACCTTTCCCATTAATTGCTCCGCTCCATGGAGCGTAGCTAGCTCCGTGGAGCCGCCGCTCCGGAGTCAGAGCTGCCTATCTCTAGCAGCTTGTACAAGTATCTATCTTTACTAATTCATCACTGTATTATCTCTTTTCTTTAATTTTCTAGTATCATACAACATCATCGTGTGATACAATTACGCATCCACACCAAAGGAAAACAAAAAAATTTTGAATCTCGAAGTATTCGAGAACCTATGGAATCTCGATATCCAAAATGGTTTAGAACAACATGAAATCAAGCAGAATTCTATAATATCCTGTAGAATCACAAAACCATTATTGTTCGAAGGAGCCGCTACTACTACTAAAGCTTTAATGCCTCAGATCATCGGATGTTAGGTTTTATGAAATCTGCAGTATGATATAGGATTTCAATATTCTCCATGGAGTTACTTGCTAGATCCTATTAGAGTCTACATCATTCTACTTGACTGTGCAATTCTAGAATCTTATAGAATTTGATGAGGCTTCACCAAAGATTAAGAATATTAAATGGATTTGAAGTATTAATAAATGATTTTGTGGATTCTTTTTCTTTATTTGAATTAAATAAAGATTCTTTTTTTTTTCAGAATTTTCAATCTATAAAAATGATTTTCATTATTAAAATGACTTTACATATTATGGCTACGAGTAGGTCTAGATGAGACTAAGTCAAACCTAAAAGAACTCAGACTCATCGTTTACTGACCAAGATTTATGGATGATTTAGTGAAATTATTTCTAAGAGCAAAACATTTTCGAACAATTCAAAATAAAGAGTTTCAACTTGGAGTTTTGTTCATAGACATGTTTGATAGTAATTAGACAATTCTATCGTATACCACGACTTTTTTGCCATATTGAATATTTCAAGAAAGATATGTTCATTTTCGTTAAAACTTTCGGGACTATCTAATGACTTTCAAACATATCTATTTAGAATTTTTCAGAAATACCTTACTCTCAGCACAATTTCCATAATGATCTAATCACTTTATTATTGACGCATCTTTTTTCGTTACTGTGGAAATTTACTGAATCACTGTTGGTTCTCCTTATCGCTGTTATAAAAACGTACTCAATGGTCTTTGAGTGTCCTCCTCCTACTCGTGAATAGTGACCTGGTTGATTTCGAAAGTCTTTTATGGAAATACTTACCAGAATTGTGCACAAACCACTTTGTTCAGTCTGTTCTAGGCTAGTCTGTAAACTTCTGACAGGATAGAATAGATTAATTAAGTTTTTTTAGACGATTTTTGAAAACAATTACACAATTTAAGTCCAACATTTTTCCTATACCCTCATGCTAGTCTAAATCATATATTCAGTTCTTCTCAGCCAACATGATAAAATGACAAACTCCTACACTAAATAGAAAATCCAAATATACAGAACTGCACAAAAAGTAAAAACTTATCTATGCAAAGAGCTATGCTGTCAAATGAGTTCTAATTCCATCAACACTGGTCCAAAACATTAAGACATGTATACCGTTAGAACGAAATTATACAAGTTGAAAAACAAGAAACAGGGTTAATATCAGTCGGAAATATTTGTTTTTTATCTTTGTTCACTGAATGATATTGAATTGAATTGCATTACTACTCAGCTCTATTTCTATTGTATATTCATTCTCTTTATCTATTGAAACTGGCTCTAGCTCAATCATAAATACATGAAGAATTGCCAAAAAAAAGCAAATTAGTTAAAAAGAATCATCTATCATCAAGGATATATATGAACCTTTGAGTTGACTTATACTTTTAGAGGTAGGTGCTACTTTGCATCTTTTCAAGCACAGCTAAATTAGAATGAATGAGATAAATTGATATCACGTCACAGTATAGAGTGAAGTGATACATTTACAATTTTGCGTACGACTAGACTCGCATAAAGTATTGGAAATCAGAACATGTAACAGATAGTTGTGTTAGTCTTATCAGAGTTTAAAATAACTCTGCAATGCCACTTTTAACCAGAATCGATCAATATACAAAAGAACTTCACTACGTGTCAATCAAGCCAGACTGGCAGCTCTGATACTTATTCATTTTAAAAAGAACCAAACTAGGAAAATAGTTCTTGATCAGGTCAAACGGGAATGATATTCTTTATCGAAATGAAAACTTTTGGAATAAAAAAACTACATGGCTTCTTAAAATATCGTTTTCAAAAGGTTGATGCGGATCCAACAAGATGCTATAGACGGAAATCGAATGATTATTAATCATTGCTTATAATCAATAGAGATGAATTTTCGATATGACTTTTATTCCAAGTATGATGAGTTTTTGTTCAATTATAAATGGACTGGTGGTTGATACTATTTAATATGCGATCATTCTTTCCTATGTCATAAAAACTCTCTTTTTAAGTTGCTTGTCGTCAAAAAATTATAGCGTTGAAAAATATTGCTTGTTTTCAAGGAAAAACAAGATTAATAAGATCAAAACAAAAATTTGAAAATACTAGCGTAATGAAGAAGTTATTTTCTTTGAAATTTTACATGATCGATTACTTTTTTTACGATTCAATAAATATTATATAGATAATATAGTCATAGTAGATGACATGATCGAAAACTGAAACTATTAGATATGTAAAAATTATACAATGTTCAATGCTGTATGTCAAACAGGATATCAGGTGGTCAAATATTCTGGAAAGGTAAGTAACAGAATTGACAACATGCTTTCAGACATATCCAACAAACCGTTAATGCGCTAAGAATGCGAAGATTTTTTAATATTAATTCATTTTGCGTTGTTAGAAGATACACTTAATTAAGTCTTGAAACATTTCAGTATCTTGTATTAATAAACGACATTAGATCAAGAACCATTGCTATTGTTATATCTCTTTGCAAAATTCTATATTCAAATATCTAAATAAACATGGTATCTTTGGCTTACATTGCCCAACAATATACACTATATGTTGGTTCTATTCTTTTTGTAATGGGTGTTTTTGGCAATTTCATGGTTATATTAATATTTTCAATGGATCGTCAATATCGTATAACACCATGCACATTCTATTTTCTCGTTGCTTCTGTACATGACATGCTTCTTATTGTTATTGTTCTTGGATTACGTTTATTGACTGTTGGTTTCGGTATCGATTTGACTCGAATGTCAGTCGTATGGTGTAAGGCTCGATACTACTTTTTCTCTACTTGGGCGGGCATATTGTTAACTTGTCAATGCTTAGCAACACTCGATCAATTTCTTATCACATCAAGAAATGCTCGTCTTCGTCGTTTAAGTAGTATAAAAGGTGCTTATCGAGCTGTTGTAGTAACACTTATTGTCTGGTGGCTACATGGCATACCATGGTTGATCTATCAAGACATATCACCCATCAGTGGCGCATGTGTATATGTCAATCCGATTTTTCTTCGTTATGTTATCTTTTTTGGTTTGATTAGTCTCTTCATGCTACCAACAGCGTTCTTGACCGTATTCGGGTTTCTAGCCTATAGGAATATATCTCAAACGGCGGCACTAAGTGAGCAAAATGCACATCGTCAAATGACGATTATGGTCTGTGTAAAAATCTTTCCAGTGGTTTTGAGTGGAATATTTAATGGTGGCTGGAATATCTACACACTTGCTACATATGAAATGGTGAAGAGTCCTGATCTATTATCTAAAGAACATTTATTTCAATCAATGATTGCTCTTCTAGCATATTTGGGAAGTTCCGTAAGTGTTTGAAATATACGAAGTAAAAGATAACCATATAATCGATCTTTTATTTTTGAATAGGCAAGATTCTATTTATTCTTGGTTGCCTCGAGTCGCTTTCGTCAAGTGACTAAACAATGGATCTGTTGTTGCCGATTAGGTCACAAAGTTCCTGCCAGTGACAGGTTAATTATGGTGATACAGGACCAAGAGAATGGCTCCATACACTAAATTACTTATGATTGAATCTATATTTGCTTATTTCGTATAAGAAAAAAAGCTTCTTTAGTCCTTTCTCTAACCTAGAACAGCTCTTTTGACAGTTTTCATTGACATAATCGGAAAGGTATTTACTATCGGGAACCAATAATGACTGCTCACTCGTGAATCATGAATTCACTCTACGTTGACACATAATAGTGAGAACTCTCACTGACAGATCTGTTTTTGTCTCACTCACAATCGTATCGATTGATGACAAATTATCGAAGTTCAATTGAGTGAGTCGTTTGGGGTCATTACTGAGACCCGTTGTGAATGGCAATCTGCTGATGTTTAACAACAAGCTACAAGATATTTTGTTATGATTATTTGCCATAACTACTGAATAGATCTCAACTACAGTACAAATTGTCTTGCTAAACTTTCTACATTTGGTAGACAATCGATTTGACATACTGTGCGTAGCATCGAAAAATATGATGAGTCTAGCTTGATTTTGTATTTGATTCGTTAATAATCATCTATTGTGCTAATCAGTCTCAATGCAAAGATATGATCAAATTTTTGAGTAATACATAATAATACTTTCTATTTATATGATGAACATGAAAGGTGGGAACGAAAATTGTTCATTTCTCAATATTCAAACAAAAAAGACAGGCGACCATGTAATCATAGCGAATATCTTATCATTTTGAGGGCCTATATACATATCTTCAATTCTATAATGGTATCTTTTACTATGCGAATAATAAATATAATCTCCCTTATTGATTTCGAGAAAGTGTAGACGAGTATCACTAATTGATTGATGTTTAACTGTTGAAAAGAAAAGAATCGATTATGTTCTGAATCAAAGACATTCTCACATTCATCATCCAATGGCATGCATGACGGACGAACAACTTCGTTGCTCGTTACAAAATCTGACAAATCATTGATGAATAGGATTCTCGTGATGGAAAAAATGTTCACCATTCTGAAAAAGAATTCTGTTCAAAACTATCAGGCTACATCTCAATGCTTACTTATGTGTCAAGTGAGAAGTCATGCAGTCTAATTCATATCATGAGGGTTATTTCTTGTAGAAAAAGAAACGTAGCAAGTACGAAATGACGTAAAATCATTGTAAATATTATGTAGCTATTTTTAGTATACTTCCATGACAGATAACATCTTAAAAAAAGTTCATTTCAATGCGTTAAGGTTTCGTGATAATCCTGTTTAAATGAAATATGATCGCTAAAAAAAGCGCTATTACAAAATTTTGAACAAGTTAAAACACGTTACATGATCTTCAATCTGTTAAAATGTTTAATTTTTTCAAAGTTTACCCGTTCTTCTGTCGGTTGTACTATTGATTTTGTGAGTGAAAATACGTGCACAGGACTCAGCAGATCTTGATGTAGTAATGCCTTACTGGCAACTTGAATTAAATATTTTTTTCTTTTGATACTACGTAGTTTACTGTGTTCAATATCGGCTCATTATAGTTCGCTTATTTAGCAGAATTCAGGTTTTTTATATTAATATATTATTTCATGAACGTTAATATATAGATTACTAAATCCAAGGTAATATGTTCAGTATTTATACAACATAAGAGTACATAATCATATTTGAACTGATTTCTGAGCAGATGAAAGACTATTTACAAATGTTACAACAGAAAGAAATATTGTAAAAGTAATTTTATATATTTATTTTTTTCCAACACGATGGATTCTTTTTTTAGCAGTTTTCATTTATGCTTCTTTAATCTGATTCATATTATAATTTTTTTCAAATTCATATTCGATTATACTCTACTTACACAATAGATCTATTATCAGTCTGTTGTATTACGTTTATCGATACTTCTTGTAATGTGAAAGATTTAAAGTCAACAATATAGGTTTAAATAATATTGCTTTAACGTATTAAAACAAAAGATATGAATAATGATCTAATTTTTTATTCACAATATAAAATAAAAGAATATTATAGAATTGAAGATATTGTTCAAGTAGATTCGAAAATATTTGGAATCCACAAATTTTCATATTTTTTCAAACGAAAAAAGTATAAATTGTCTATCAGATATATAGATATAGAATAAAAAAACATGGGCTTTACTTATCTGACTTCTGTAGATGATTTATCACATGCTTCTAGAATTCATATCCTATCTAGAAATATTCGTTGCATTGTAAAATCTTCTTCTAACTAATGTCGTTAACATCGTAATGCTAATATGAGTAGATAATGAAGAACAACAAAAAGTAATTTTAATGTGGTAACGAAAAATCATCACATTAACATAATTTTTTCATGCAACTATTAGACCAATAGATTTTTTCGTTCAAATTCATTCTTTTTTAGATTTTTTTTTTTTTCTGAGATTTCTTTCATTCAGTCACTTATATAGTTTTTTCACTCGAACGTGTTCATGATATTATTTTTTGCTTTATAATCTATTTTACTGATTATTGTAATTACAGAAACATCCTTCGCGTGGAAATAATTTTTTTCTTCTCATTAAGTAAAGATACAATCAGTATAATCAATTGAGAAATATTCTAACATAAACAATAAGAAATGAGTTCGGCAGTTGAATTGATTTTCTGTTCCTTGTCTTTCCTTTACTTAGCTTTAGATAATTTAGTCATATGAGCAATCGATCTAGCCTCATCAACTATATCAGTTTTTTTCTTTTTTTTCTACTAACAATGTTGATGAGTTATTATTTGAATTTTAGTTTGATTATATAATCAAAACTAGAGAATAATTGAATAAAGGTAACTGATATCTTCAAAACAAATCTTCAAATAAATTATTGTTAGATAAATGCGAAAGTATGATAGAATTTGCGCATATGTCAGTTATTCATCGACACATAGTTACGTCCTGTTATAATAAAATAAGCGAATCTTATAGGGCAAAGAGACAACTCAACACTTCTTGGTTACTTGGAAGCTAATTAAAACGATACTCCTTAGCCATTTAACTCTATTCACATCGTACATAGATATATCCACCGTTGTACGGTGAGAATAAAGTTAAAATAGCTAGGAATTATAGTTTTAACTAGCTCCAGAATTAGAATGTATTAAAATGTGTGCTTTTTACGATTCGAACCGCGTTTATTTTTTGAACCATTTTTATAAGTTGTTTTTATTGATTTGGAATGACTAGGTTGCTGCGGAGAAAAAGTGTCAGACTCTTTTTTCAGAGCAGCTCACTAATGGAAAAAGGGATTAACGAGCATCAACGACAAGATTTCGACTGTTATAGAATATTATAAAGCCTTCCTAGAAAATCCAATGGCTCGAGAACATTTGATAATGTTGTTAATAGCACAGTTTTGGAGTTTAGCGTAGATAAAAATTTATTATCAAGATATAAATAATAATGAGTATTGATATATTAATCAAGTTGTAGTTTTGGAAAACAATCAATATTTGTGTTTATGAGCTAATCAAGAAATACATAATAATCCATTGACACCTACTCTAGACATCATGAATAATAATAATCGGCTTATTTGCTAATTAAAACAATAGTGAAAATGGTAACAAAGTCAAATTGAGAAAATAAATACGACAAAGAACAAGAATGTGTCTTAGTCAAAAGCGCTATGCAGAAAAAACAAAGACAAGTTTTTTCTTCTGAACAATTATTTTTGAAAAAACAACTATAATCTGTGAGAGACTTTTTACTTTACATATTCTGAACTGGTATAATCGGACTAAAGAAAATATGTGAGTTCCACATTTCAATTCGAAAGGGGCTACGAAAGCAAACGTTTTTGCTGTTGTCTATGATGAATTATTTTCTTTGAAATTTTACATGATAGATTTATTTTTTTTTACAATTCAGCGAATATTACCTAGATAATATAGTTATAGTAGATGACATGATCGAAAACGGAAACTACTAGATATGTTAAAAATTATACAATGTTCAATACTCTATGTCAAAGAGGATATCAGATAGTCAAATATTCTCGGAAAAGTAAGCAACAGAATTGACAACATGCTTTCAGACATATTCAACAAAGCGTTAATGCGCTAAGAATGCGAAGATGTTTTTTAATATTAATTCATTTTGCGTTGTCAGAGAATACACTTAATTCAGTCTAGAATCATTTCAGTATCTTGAATTAATAGCCAACATTAGATCAAGAATCATTGCTATTGTTATATCTCTTTGCAAAATTCTATATTCAAATACCTAAATAAACATGGTATCTTTGATTTACATTGCCCAACAATATACACTATATGTTGGCTTTATTCTTTTTGTAATGGGTGTTTTTGGCAATTTCATGGTTATATTAATATTTTCAATGGATCGTCAATATCGTATAACACCGTGCACATTCTATTTTCTCGTGGCCTCTGTGCATGACATGCTTCTTATTGTAATTCTTGGCTTACGTTTAGTGACCGTTGGTTTCGGTCTTGATTTAACTCGAAT